GGAGTAAAACCTTTAAAGCAAAAGATTACCCCAGGGCTGAGTCCTAAGGAATATGACAGCTGCTATTTAGCCAGATGCCATTCTATGCAGCTTCTATATTCTGAATTCTTTCATATGGTCTTGACTTTCTTCCAAGGTTCTCTGATTCTCTGTAAYGCCTGAATTTTGAAAATAAATTGGATTCTGGAACCACAACTTCTTTAGCGAGTCATTCTCTGAAATCAATACTAAGAGTTGTTTCTAAATGTCTTGATGAGGGTATCTAATTGGGAGTTATAGCTGAGACAGCACTACCTGGCCTCTTATTCTATTAGTGTTTGGAGARTGGTCCTTGGGCAAGTTGCAAAAGCCCCAGCATGGCTTTTTAAACATTTCCTAAAAGAGTTATGCCTGCTTTACCAGCCTACTCAGAAAAAATGTACAGTGAGTATGCAGGCACCTGATTTCCTTCWGGGAGTCTGGAATTCTGTAGAGGATGCCTATTTGATGAATCCTCAAAAAAATATTCTGGGTCCAGAGTCTCAAATGGGTTTCTCTGAGCAGACACAAACATGTGACTACATCTCACTGGTGAATGGAGAGCACACTTAGTGTGGTTCCTTACAAGAGGGAAAGCACAGAAAATTTGCACACAGATTCATATAGATTCTCCCTTATCTTTTTTCATTACTAATCTGGTTGTGCATTCTTATTTATGTTCATATATATACACACACACACACACACACACACACACACACACACACACACAGCAACATACTGAAAATTATGTGATCCTGGGGACTCAGCAAACAGAACTCAATCCAAAAAATAAGAAATAAATAATGGTATTTTTAAAGAAAATAATGCCTGAAGTTTACATATCTTACCTTGAGCAGGGGACTGCCGCTGTTGCTTCCGAATGATGAAAAGAATGGGCTCCTGAGCATGTAAAAGGATATACTCGACTCCAACCATCTGACTAAAACAGAGAGAAACCCAGAGATCTCTGAATGCCTACAATTTTGTAGAACAATCTAAAAGTGCAGCAACATTTTAAATAGGATTAAAACTGCCTATGTTTGATGTTAAAACCTGGCAGTCAAATAGAACTGGCTGCTTTTCCAGAGAGGTGATATAAAGTTAGATTGTTTTGGTTTTGGTACCAGGGATTGAACGCAAGGGTGCTTAACCTCTGAGCCACATCCCTAGTCCTTTCTAATTTTTTGAGACAGGGTCTCACTGAGTTGCTTAGGGCCTTGCTAAGTTGCTAAAGCTGGCTTTGAAATTGCAATCTTCCTSCCTCAGCCCTGATCCCAAGACCGACTACAGGCATGTGCCACTACACCTGGCAAGATTTACTTTTAAGCAACAAAATTTTTCTACAAAAAATCACCATAAGGGACTGGGGTTGTGGCTCAGTGGTAGAGTGCTTGAGGCACTGAGTTTGATCCTCAGCACCACATAAATGTAAAATAAAGATACTGTGTCCACTTAAAAAAAAAACTAAAAATAAATATTTTTTTAAAAATCAGCATGAATTGAAATCTGAGTAATTCAGGCAGAAAAGTGAGCTGAAAGTATCTTTTTCAAAAAGGCATTCAAAATACTATGGTGCTTCCTAATCAAGAACTATAAATATATATAAAAAATAAAAATAAACATGAAGACCCAACTGTACATTTTATCCAAAACACCAAAGATTTTATCCTCACCCCAACACATTTTTTKGACCTGCAACAAAAAGCTATTCAAAATGCCATAGAAATTAATTTCCTAAAACCCACCCCCACAGTATTTTGGGGACAAATGCAGAATTATTATATATAGTTTCAGAAATGTTTTTAATAGCAATAAATTCTTGATTATTTTSCATCCTAAGTCTAAAGAATCTTGATTGTGTTTAACTAAAATTATATTTTCTTTATTTGTCATACAGAGAAAAACCTATTACAAACCAGAAAACATTAAATTAGATTTAAAGGGGACAATAATCACAATTGTATGATTGAGAAGAAGCTGCATTGCTAAAAACACTCAGAACAACATTTAAACTTGTTATTATTTTAAATAAACATTGTTATTTAGAAGAGTTATAAGTTACAAGAGACTTCTAATAATTTCCTTGAATGTCATATTTATAACAAACGCACACAAAATTTCAGTTTCTTTACCAAATCTTGTACTTCATGATCCACAACTTAAAAGAATGTGTACTACAAAATCTCTAGTCCRCAAAGATGTTACCTTCTTAAAATAACTTACTTCAGGTGTTCTAATGTTAGCCTCTGCATTTTGACCACTTCATTATTACATGTCCTGTCATAAAAAGGATTACTTCTTTCTGAAAAGTAATCCAGGACACTACCACTGTTCAAAATGGGGATCCAAGAGCTGTCAACCCAAGAGATTCCCAGGAGATTATCTACAGGGGGGAAAAAATAATAATAAAGAATCAGAAAAGCAAAAGAATCTAATCCGAGACATCCTTATGCATCTAATATAGCAGGCACCATGAATAAAAGAATAACATGAATACTAATCTATGTACTAAACAGAAGAGAGAAATATGCAAGAAAACAATGACAACACAAAATAAAGTGTTAGAATATCTAAGTATTAGAATTAGGGTATGAATAATTTGAAAGCACCAAGGAAGGATAAGAATTCCTAGGGAATACCTAGATTTTTCATTGAGGGGAGGTGGGTTTTAGCTCTTTGAGAATCACATGGAGGAAAAGGAAGAACACAGGAAGGTATGAAAATATATGCATATGTTTAATATATTTTTACTTTACATAGTATATACATGAATATGTAAAATATGTTTAAAGAGTAATTTGATTAAGTGAGGGAATATTAAGATTAGAGATCTAGAAAGTTCTTTTAAAAAATTGGAAATCCTGGGGCTGGGGTTGTARCTCAGTGATAGAGTGCTTGCCTAGCATGTGTGAGGCCCTGTATTTGTTCCTCAACACTACATAAAAATAAATAAAAGTTATTGTAACCATCTACAACTAAAATATATATTTTTTTAAAAAAGAGAGAGAGAGAGAGAGAATTTTTTAATATTTATTTTTTAGTTTTTGGCGGACATAACATCTTTGTTTCTGTGTGGTGCTAAGGATTGAA